TGTCATATAATGCTAATCTTAGTTAAGTTTTACACATCTTGACCCAATTTCCCAAGATATAATACAAGGAAAATTTTAGCTTTTTGTCAGAGAATGTGTCTCCTTGCTCTTCCTGAGAATAAGTTATTGATTTAATGGCAAATATTTGAGGGTTTGAGGCTTTTATAAAAGGGAAATTTGACCATATTCCCCAGCATAGACAGGGAAGAGTCCTTGTGCGTGTCACTCCGCTAATTATTATTGCTTTGTTCTCATTTGCACAATGGGGCTACTTACTTTACAATGATGGTTATCCACCCCCCCTTCCGTGTCTATCCACAGTAACTAAAGTCGTAATGGTCCTAGTCCCAGTAAATTAACACTGGGAGTTAAGCTACTTATCTTTGTAGTTTTCTATACAGAAAAGTATAGTTCAACTATTTTGCTTCCTCAGTTGCACACTATTACCTGCTAGGGTGGAAACAGACTGAGAAATGCAAAATGTTTGTGCATCCTTCTTGTATGTTACATATTCAGGGGCATGTTCACGCTATCGGGGTGGAAAATTTGGGTTATTTTCATTCCCCTTTGATAAATCACATAACACCCCTATGAAACTACACACGTACATACACACAAACACACACACACAGGCACACAAATGCCACCTCAGAAAGGGGGGGCTCTTTCTTGAATTTCTTTTTGCGAGACAATTAATAAACCAAACCTAAAGTCAAGTATTATGAGCATCAGTTCCGTTGATAAACCCATTGACAGGGCATTCCACTGCTCAGCTTTAGAAACTGTATACTTACTCAGATTAGTAAAATCTCATTTAGAATATTTGGATCTGTAGTTTTCTTTTAAATCTAACCTTCATTATATATTGGGATTGAGATCATTAAAAAAATAAGCACTAGAACTTTTATCATTCTTTCTGATCAGAAATAGTTTAATAAAAAGTCTGCTCTTTGACAAGTAAATTGCAATTCTAAAGATTCATTATTCAATACTTTTAATAGCATCTAATCCCACTAAGTCTAATAGTAATACCCACTATTAGATAATTAGTATTAGATACTTTTAATAATATGTGTTTAATTGTCTAGTTTATTTCATGGTATTTGATGTATTCCAGAGTTCTGAATTATCAGTTACTAATCTCACCTTGGTTGTCCCCTGCTTGTAAACTTTCAAATGGCTACTCTATCTGATAATGAAATTAGAGCTAGTATTTTAGTAAGAAACAATAAAGTGTCCTCTATTTTATACTCCAAGTCCCCTTACTTTCTCTATTCTTTGCTTTGCTCTTTGCATTCCAGAAACACTACATTTTCAGTAGTTCTCCACATGCAATATGTTGTTCTGTGCTTCTGAGGATAGTTCTTGCTCTGCCCTTCATTCTCCTTTTAACCTCAATAGACGTGAGAGCGTAGCTGTTATATGTGCTGCTTCTGCAATTAAAGTACATATTTGACTTTTGTAAAGGTTGTCAAAGCTTTTTTGTCCCTTAGTATCATCATTTGTAAAATGAAGATCATTCTGTCATTTTTGAGATTGCACCCAAATATTGCATTTCAGACTCTCTTGTTGACTATGAGGGCCACTCCATTTCTTCTAAGGGATTCTTGCCCACAGTAGTAGATAACAGCGATCATCTTAAATCCACCCATTCCCATCCATTTTAGTTCACTGATGATACTACTTCATAACACTATTGTGAGGATGAAAAAAGTCCTCTTTGCAATATTTAGAAGAGAGTCTTGCACTTAGTTAAGTACTCTATGCAGGTTAGGTGCAATTATTTTTTAATGGATAAACTTTGTTCTTCCACTATGAATCAGTTTAGAGACTTTTGTTTTTAGGAACATATTGCCTTCAAAACTCAAAGCAACCTACCAGACATTGTGCTTCCTTATTTAATAATGGTAAATGAGTGTGAAATTGCAGTAAATTCTTTTATTTTAGAAGTATATACTGGCAGATACCTGACAAGTAGACGTCATTGAAGTGGCTAGTCCCTGATCTTCATGAGGTTGATCTTCTGCCCTCTGGAGGGTATGCTTCTGAAAGTCTCCAGCATACCAGCTACTTCTCGCTTATGTTGTCCAGTCTGCATGATGTTTTCAGTGTAAGGGACCACAATGATATGCTATGATATGGCCAGATTGTTTCAGATTATGTATATTAATACAGAAGAGAATTGACATATTCTTGAGGCAAACCAGGCTTCAGCAATACGTGAACCGAGAACTTCCAGATGTTCAAGCTGGTTTTAGAAAAGGCAGAGGAACCAGAGATCAAATTGCCAATATCTGCTGGATCATTTTAAAAGACACTTACTCCTTGGAAGGAAAGTTATGACCAACCTAGATAGCATATTAAAAAGCAGAGACATTACTTTGCCAACAAAGGTCAGTCTGATCAAGGCTATGGTTTTTCCAGTGGTCATGTATGGATGTGAGAGTTGGACTGTGAGGAAACCTGAGCACCAAAAAATTGATGATTTTGAACTGTGGTGTTGGAGAAGACTCTTGAGAGTCCCTTGGACTGCAAGGAGATCCAACTAGTCCGTCCTAAAACAAATCAGTGCTGGGTGTTCATTGGAAGGACTGATGCTGAAGCTGAAACTTCAATACTTTGGCCACCTCATGCAAAGAGTTGACTTGTTGGAATGACCCTGATGCTGGGAGGGATTGGGGGCAGGAGGAGAAGGGGACAACAGAGGATGAGATGGCTGAATGGCATCACCGACTCGATAGGCATGAGTTTGAGTAAACTCCGGGAGTTTGTGATGGACAGGGAGGCCTGGAGTGCTGCGATTCATGGGGTCGCAAAGAGTCGGACACGACTGAGTGACTGAACTGAACTGAACTGAGGCAAATCGGTAACTGAGTATTTTTATGTTTCTCTCATGAATGTGAACTGTTTCCTATCCCTTTTCCAAAGCAACAGGATGAAAAGTACACATTCACCAAATCAATGGCCATGTGCAGTGTACCTGTGGGCTTAACTAATCTGCAGTAATACCACATTTGCCATAGACACTGCAGTCAGGACTATTGGTCAAACCTGCAGTAGTTTACAGTCATTCTCCAGGAATCATCTAGTCTCATCAGGGCCAGACTGGGGAATGAAACAGAAGTAGAACCTAGACTACCACCATCTCTCACTATTCCACCCACTGTAGACTACGATATTGTGTTTGATTTAGTCTCTTGACCAGGGTTTCAGAAGTTTTCTGGCCTTCCCAGCTATTGTAGCTATAATAGCTCTTCGCAGACCAGAGACCTATTGTGGGCTTACTTCTACTGACACATTTAACATTTTGGTTATACACCTAGAGGCTTGGGGATAACGACTACCTGGGTTGCGAGTGAATTTGAGGTTCTTTCTTCATCGCGAAAGAATTCAGAGATGAAGCAGAGGGGTTAAGAAAGTGAAGTGAAAGCTTATTTAAGCAAGGATACGCTCTCAGAGCATGAGTGAGCAGGCACCCCAGGAGCTGCCACCCGGGTTTCTTTGGCAAAAGCCACTTGTGAGGGGCCTACAAATGAGGGGGTGGAATATTCACTGCGGAAGGAGGGATTTTTGTTGCCATTTAGCTTGAGTTAGAAGTGTCATGCCCTCATGACATCCTTATACAATGATTACTTCTTATCTGCTAGACTAATCTTATGGTAATGAAGGCACGAGGAGCAAAAGGTTGCACTTGGATTCAGGAGATTCACCCTTTTCCTTACCTTTCTTTGCCATCTACTCAGACTCTTATCACCCCAAATGTATGGTTTCCTATCAGTCTGAAGGCTCCTACTTTCCTTTGTCTATGTTTGGGCTCCTGCTGCTTATAGGATGGGTGGTTTAGGCCCTTGACCCCATTTCTCTGCTCATACCTGGCTACTTACCTGCTGTAACACCTGGAGCGTGCTCCACTTAAGTCCACTGCGAACTTTATCTAGGCTTATTTTTTCACCCTGTCTCCGTAGGTCCCCACTCCTCAGGTATCAAGTCAATGAAGAGCCTTTTCCAGTGTCCTTGAAAATGTGCGATTATCCCCCCTTCCCCAGTGTACGTACAGTTACCTGGGTAAATGGCCGTAATTCCCTTTGAAGAAATAGAGGCATCATTATAGTATTTACTTGTCAGGATGTTGCAGGGTGTTTCTTTCTACATGACCTGACCACCTCTTCAGTTAGCAAGTTCAACACCTGAAAATTGGCTCATGTCTGGGAACTGAGCAAAGTATTGTGACTTTTAATAGGAGTGTCCACCCTCTGACTCCTGACTTTATTCATCTTCCCTGGACAGTGTCCACCATCAAAATCCTATTAATTTTTAAAAGGGATTTATTGCCTGGGAACTATATTCAGTATCTTATAATAAAATATAATGCAAAACAAATTTTAAAAGAATGTAGATATACGCACATATATGTTTAACCAAATCACTTTGCCATACACCTGAAACAAACAAAATATTGTAAATCAAATATACTTCAGTTAAAATAAAAAGGCTTTGTTGAAAGCCCACTACCTCTCTTTTCCTTGTATGTATGACCTCAGCCAAGATGAATCTCTCTAACCCCTGAATTCCTGTAGACATAGTGCTGATCATACTCTGTTGTTTGTTATACTTATTTCTGTATATCTTCTGCACAGATCTTGACTGTACATTAGGCTGAAACTCTCATTTATCATTTTATTCTTTAAAATACCCCACATAGTGCCTTGAGCATACTAGGAAAGCTGTGAAAATTTACTGACTTGATTTTAAATTGCAAACTTTTATTCTGCCACTTAATTAAAAGGCAAAAATGCATTTAGCCATTAAGTAGAATATGATAGTGTTCTATTTATATACTATTTTGTGTATGTAAGCCTATATACTAAAATATAAAATATTTTCATGTATATACATGGAATTATACATGTGTATACTGAGCTGGGTTATTTTTTATTTTAAAGATTAAGATTTTAATTATTCAAATTCCAAAATCTAATTACCCAAATCTTTCTTTACAGATAATTTGTGGTAAAAGCCTTTCAGTGAATGACATTACTCTTAGTACTTTGAAAGAAGATGGGTACAAAGCTGCTTTCATTGGGATAGGTGAGTAGCTTATTTTCAAATATTTTTCTTTCTTTCTTTTTTTTTTTACTTCCTGACAATATTCAGAAGGGTAACTACCTTCAGACATTTTTATGGTAGAATTTGTATCTGTTCAGAAAAGAGCAGATAGAAATGAATGGCCAAAGAAAATTTCTGTTTTATAATGAGTTGCACTGCCTCACCTCATTATAGATTGACCTGGACAAGGTATCTTTATCTTCCCATTCTCTTACCATATTCTCTTCACCAGTAAACATCTAAGATGCAAAGTGTTTTCAGGTCATGCCACAGAAGCTCAGAATTCAGGCTTAGAAATATCTAGATGCTGTAGCTTTCTCTTTATGATAAAACAAATTAGTTTAATTGATATTAAGAGATAGAATTGGCTCATCTTCTTTTTCTATTTTTTTTTTGGTATTTTCATATTTGTCTGAATTATAAAGATGTTTGATCACAGTTTTGAACGTCACATAGTATATAACTGCTAAGGCAATCAATGTGCCCTATGGTTCCATATTTTGCCTAACTATCCCAGGGAGATTGAGTTTTCTAACGTGTTCCCCTTTCCCTTACTCTATACCGAGACCAAAGAGAACACACTGCTGATATAATTTGTTCTTTGTCTTGTGAACTTTGTATTTATTCTCTTATATGATCATAATATGAACAGTGAATGGCATATCAACTGAGTAAACGCATCCTCAGGTCTTTTAGTTTGTCTATCTCCTCTCTAGTTCACTTTCTTTAAATATGAATGTCTAGTAAACCTACACAGAGGTAAAAACTGTTCCATCTCTTTAAGTAATCACATGCTAGATAACATTTGTTTTGGGGCTGTAATTTTTCATATGTTTCTAGAATAAAATCATCAGGAATGCTTTTTTGCCTACTAAATTTTTATCAGGATGGTATATGTTCTCTTACTGGTTAGTTGATAGCAAGTCTTAAAACCATCTTGTCACTCCCTTTACTTAGGTGAAAAATTAGGAAGAGGCAAACAAATTTTCACTGCCTTCTAGCTCCTAAATGTCTTTATTCAACCTCCTTTCTTTCATAAACTTGATTGCCATTGTCATCAGTATTTCTCTAGGTTATTTAAGTACAATAATCCTGTGAGATAAAAACAGGAAAGAGAAAATACGTAGCAATATATTGCCTAGGTTCCATTTTTAGCAGCATTACCCTTGATTTTGGCTTTATTTTTCACCATTACATTTGTACTGAGAATTTTGCATAAAGAAATAGGGAACGTGTTTTTTTCACATATATTCTACCAATACCAGCAAAATTGAATCATTAAGTTGCTTTTATTCTCACCAAATGCATATTAAAATATGTTTTGTTGTTGTTTAGTTGCTAAGTCGTGTGCAACTCTTTGTGACATGGTGGGCTGTAGCCCCACTAGGCTCCTCTGTGGGATTTCCCAGGCAGGGATGCTGGAGTGGGTTGGCATTTCCTTTTCCAGGGAAAATGTGTTTAGTTAATAATAAATGAAAAATTTAGTCAGGCAATAGGTTTGAAATATTGGCAATGTTTTCAAATAGCTATTTGAAATTCACCATTGTAGTTTCCTATAGCAGTTGTATGTAAAAGATGTGGAGTTGTATATGCTAATGCAGTTTCATGTATCTCTATGAACTTTGTCCACAAAGAATCTCTGTATTGAAGAGATAAGGGCCAAATAAACAGCCAATATGTTGAAACATCTCCAAATTAACTGCTCAAGAAGCAAATTATAACAAAATTGGGAAGAATTGAATGTTTTATCAGTCTGAGTGGTTTCAGTTATAAAGCGATATCTTCCATCTGCAAGAATCAGGAATGTTTCAGTTTTCTTTTATTCCATTAAGTCCCCTTACATATGTTATTTGATAGTGCTATATCCCATTCACAAAACTCCATTTGACTCTGCATTGAGGTGTGAATAAAGCACTTAAAATGTGAAGTCCTTTCATATTTATGTTTCTGTGCATTTTCATGCTGAGAAGTGAATCTTTTGACATTTTGGTGTAGTGATGTGTAGAATGCAGTTATGTTCTCTTTCAGTATTCTGTATGAAATATATACAAGAAAGTTTCATCTTGTCAAAAAAAAAAGAAGTTCTGTGTATAGAAAACAAGTAGCCTTGCCCTCCAGGAAGTACTTACTTGACACTCTTGATTGCCAAGTTGGGAATTTATGACCTTTCTATTGCCATCTGACAGTCTATTACATAGATGGCCTCACATCTTTACATGCTTTTGTTCAATCACCATGCTTCTATATTGTAATTAGACTTCACTCACTTTGTTTACCTAGCTTTTCCTACTCAGGATAGAGAAGTAAATTTTGGATAGGAATTCTATATTACTTAGGATATAGGTTTGGCCACTTTAAGAAAGGAAAATAATAAAGACTTAAACAAGATATATGTTCAGTCCTCTCTCAGTGTGAACCATCCTCAACACGTGTCTTCCATATTTGGTTCTTAGGTGGCTAGTCTTTCCACATTCCTGCTAACAAAAATTGGAAATAAGATAGGGAGTTCCTTTCCTCTTAAATTTATGACCCAGAAACTGCACGTGTTATTTCTATTTTTATGTTATTGCTTACATCCTAGTAATATAAACATACCTGGAAGCACAGGTTGCAGGGAAATACAGCCTTTAGCTGAGTGGACATAGTGCTCCATTAAACTTCTATTCCTATAGAGAAGGAGGATGATAGATATACAGAGAGGGAAAAAATAGAAGTCTTGCTACTGATGTGCATCATTATTTGTATTTGACACATAGAACCCTTATTGAGAGAAATCAGTAAGCAGGTAATAGCCAAGAAAGACACTATTAGAACTTAGCAGTTAACCTGTTGGTTATAATGATAATGGAGTATTTTCTCTTTCTGTAGTTGGGAATACCATATTTTAGACCTATGTTTGTAACTATGTCTCATTCTCTGTTAGTCTAAAAGAAAAATAAAAACTTATGTTTTAATTAAGTATGACTTATGAAGGATAGCTTTATAAGTCTGTGCGTAAGTCCATAGCATGTAAGTCCATCTCAGATTCTGAAGTTTCCTGATTTTTAATTTTGTTTGTGCTATTGCTGGTGAAACGCACACTTTTAGCTTTTTTCCAAATTCTAACAGAATCCATTAAGGAAATTATCTCATTGTACATACATCATTGTGAGACTGAAAGAATATGTCTCTTTACCCATGAGAGGTTTACTTTTTTCTAAGTGAAATAAAAATAAGTGAGATAAAGCTCTGTGCCTTATTCAAACTGGATTATCTTTGAGATAATTGGTATTTTTTTCAAAGACTCTAAATTTTTGGTATTTTTATTGAAATAAAAGCACTGGCACAGTGTGTTACTGTCACTGTTTAGAAATAAAGTTAGAACATCTTCTGTGCAAGGTTTTTTTCAAAGTATTGGATGGCTTTCTTTGGTTGGTATTAAAATCAATATAATGGATGACAACCATCATTTTTTGTTATTAAAAATGAGCACAAAGTAATAGAAAATATCAGTGTGTTGCACATTGTTAGGGTGAGTATTATTTTGAGAAAAATAATATGTGTATTTGCTTTTGGTGTATGTGCTTGCACATGCATATTGCATTATATGGAAAATGTGTTTTTAAAATGTGGTTTGATAGTCAATGCTCAAAACCCACTGTTGTACATTGTAAAGGCCCTAAAGTACTAATTGTGTTTTCCCCATTCACGACAACCCTCTCAATAAGCAGCTGCTGAGTGAATTAAAGAGGTTTTGCATGGTTTCAGTATTCTAAGCATTTGTTCCTTTTTGTTTTAGTTCTTTGGGTGATTATATTCTAGAGCCAATCTGAGTATCACTGTTCTAGGTGACTGAAGAATCAAACCCTGAATGTTTGATTCAAAGTAGCCTATTTCCCTTCCTTTTTTTTTTCTTTTTTGGGCTACACTAGGTCTTTTGGGGGCACGAGCGCTCTCTATTGTGTTGCACAAGCTTCCTTGCCCTGTGGCATGTAGGATCTTAGTTCCCCGACCAGGGATCGCACTTGCATCCTCTGCATTGGAAGGTGGATTCTTAACCACTGGACTGCCGGGGAAGTCCCTCTCTTCCCATTTCTGATCGTCCATTTTATGGTAATTTACTTCTTATAGTCTCATAAAGCATGACAGTGATGAAAAACTAAGCAAATATGTAAGGGAAGGAACATCCACTAAGACACTCTCAGAAAAGGTATAATGCTTTATATATTCTTTTGATGAAGTAGTTTTTTTTCTGAATTTTTGTTTTTAATACTTGGGGGAGAGGAAGAATTATGAAGTAAATAGCAGTTAAATGCATAATTATAGTCACAATAGATACAAAGGGAGCAGAGACTGCCAGAGGAAATTAAAAAGCTGAATATCACCATCCTGTGCTTTACTTATGTCGACTCCAAAGTCACTGTTCTCCTCCTTTCATGTTACTAGGCTGCTCCTTAGCCTCCTAACCAGTCCCCTTGGCTACTATTAGCCAAACAACAGAAATAGTGATAGTTCTAAAATTAGATCTAATGACATCATTCTCTCATTTAGATTCCCCCACCTCCCCCATTCAGTAACTCCCTATTTTCTTCAAAATACAGGAAAAATCCCTTAAAATAGACTGCTGAGGCTTTTCATAATTTATGAACAACTTAGGTCCTTAGTGATTTATTACATTAGGTGTTGCAGACATTTGAAATGTTTTCAGTTTTACCTCATCTCAATCTTTTAAAATCAATTTTTGGACCTAGTGTTGCCTGAACCCAGAACTGTCACTGTTTTCATATTTGTGTTCTTACATGTCCTTTTTTCTACTTCATGTAATTTTCTTTGCTTGTAAGGATCCATCCGCTACCTTCACTCTTTACTGTGGGCAAATAAAGCCACTTCACCATCACCAGTCATCATACCATTATGTTTCTGTTTCCTCTCTGGATGTCCATATCAGATTTTAGCACTTATTTCCGTGCATCATAGTAGATTGGTGTGTATTTGTTTCCACC